GTTTGCATACATTTTATACTCTCCCAACCCCACTTATGGGATTTTCACTCGGTATATTATTGTTGTTGTTTTTAGTGAAACTGTTACCAACTATTAATCCACAAAATATCACCAAGTATTTTGTATCTTCCCCACCAAAAGCATACAAACAAAATAGAAAAAGAACAAATTGCAATTCAAAAACTCAAATATACACATTGAAACCCTAGAAAAGTAGATAAATGGGAATATATAACCTAAAGTATAGCGGTGGAAGATACACACCAAAAAAGCTCCGGCGGGGCATGATCTTTATCCAGTTACAAACCAGTGAAATCTTTACAAAGAGAATGGTGAATTACCTTAACATTTAATCTATTTGATTATGAAAAAAAAATTAAGCTCCTATACACAAACTCGTACTAATTAATTTTTAGTATAATTGATCCCTAGACCCTAGAGATGGATGATTTTAACGTAAAAAAAAATATACAATCTTTGGAGGATACTTTTTTTCCCAAAATAAATAAATAAATTGAACAGTCTTGCAAAACCCCATAAATTTTCAGATTTATAATTTTGACTACAATGAAATTATTGGTGGGTTGAAGGTAAGATATGAATCTTCCCTCATTTTGTTTTTATTTGTTTAATTCATGTCCACATGACATAAAAATCTAGTTTATTTTGCCATATAATTTTTTGTGACAAATTTGATTACATGATGCTATAAAAAAAAATTTAAGTTGAATAATTTTATTGATATAAAATAAATGTGAATAACTTTACTAAATAATTTCTCATAATTAAGTGATGTTTTAAAATGTTACTCGTTTCTTAATTATTAAGAAGAGTTTGGCCACTTTGTGACTCATAGAAGCTGGAGGAGCGACAAAGATGTTCTTTAGGTTGCACGATGCAAGCTGGACTCCTTCTTTAACAAGGGCATCTACCATCTTGTTGGCTTGTCGGAAGCTATGCCGGATGTCGAACTCCCCAACTTCCTCAACAGTGACCTGCAAGCCAAAATATAAGAATTATAAATTGGGTTTGTGTATTCCTGCAATTCTAATAGATCTGTGGAGTCAGTCTCAATTTCAAAGGAATGAATATTAATGGTAATGCAAATGAATCCATCGAAAAGCTACGTGATCCCGAATTAACATTAGACCATGTTTGAAGGCCTTTATTTCGGCAAAGATGTGATTTCGCACATTAACCCGAGAGCAGAATCCGATTACCCAATCATATCTACAGTTTCTAACCACCCTTTCAATACCACACAAGTCATCCCTACCAATTTGAGAGGAATATGCACCAACTATGTTGAGTTTGGGGTAGTTAGTAGGAGGGGGTGTCTATTTGATAACATAATCCAAACTATCACATGGATGGTTGGTGGAAAAGATGAATTCAGTAGTACGATCTAGGACAATGCACGATTTTAATAAGAAGTATTTTTTGCTGTGATAGTTGTTATTTTGATTCAATCACAAGTATCAAAAGGGCGAACGAATAAAGGATATCCCAATCAACTCGTCGTTATTAGTAGTGTGTTGTAGGTCTCTAAGATGAAGAAGCTAGTAATTTTGCTAAGAAAGCTGACTAATGTTCAGACCAATGTTGAGCCAAAAATTTTGAGCAATATGACATTGTAGGAGCGTATGCTCAACAATTTCAATGGTATGGCAGACAAGGCAAAGATGGTTAGGTATGATACCCAATCGATGAAGGTATTGGGCGGTCGAGAGATGTTCGTGCGCGCTAGCCAAAGGAAGAATTTGATCTTGTTAAGAGATCTTATTCTTTATAGCCAGGCATGAGAAAAAGTGGTGCTGCCCCTTGAAATTCATGCATTTTTACTTGAAGATCATGTTATAAAACTTAAATTTAGAAGACATAATTAAAATTAAGCCATATGTGCATGAATTTGATGGAAAAAAACTTAAACTTTAGGCAAAAATCAACAAAGTTAAGCAAAACTAGTTGAAACCGTTTATGACTAAAGTTCAAGCAAAATCAATTAAAGCCATGTAGAAAAAACTAAACTTAATTATAATAAAATGGTTGAAGCCACATTAACTTTATATAATTTGGTATAATATGCGAGGGAATTACTATTGGGGTTGGGGCTTGAGACAGAATTGGAGACGTAAAAATAATAATCATGTATTAGCTTTAGAGCCGTCAATGTGGGCTAGGCCCATTGGGCCAATCTGGCCTAATCCGTGATTGGATAGGGCTGAGCTACAATTTTTTGAGCCCATTTAATAAAAGATATTTTTATCCTGGCCTGAATAAGCCTATCAATTTGTGGGCTTGATAAATATGGATAGGGCCGGCCCGTGGGCCAAATAAAAATTAATTAAAAAATAAAAATAAAATGGAATATTAAAAATAACAAGAGTTTAAACTCAAAATCTGTTTAAAGTTTGAATTATTACAATTTAAATACAAATTATATTTATAAAATATGTACTACATAAAATAAAATTTTCCTAAAATTTCTAGGGAATCACTACATAGGTCATAATCTATGGAATCTTGTCATAATTTTTGTGTCTTATTATGATCATTGGAAAACAATTAGGTTAATATTTTTATTTAGCTATTTATGTTTTTACTTGAAATCAAACTTAATAAATATCATAAAAATAATTTTATTTGTGCATTTGATTAACAAGTAGTAACACTAACACCATGTAATGTTGTCTTGTCGATATTTATGATAATATTTTAAAATTATAATTTAAGCTAAAAAATTATAAAAATATATTTTTAAGAAAAGAGGGCTGACCTGGCAAATCCCATAACCCACGTACTTGTGGGCTGGGCCGACCATTTTCTGGCCCACACAAAAAATGGGCTAGCCCTACCTAACCCATCAAATTGCAAAACATGTATGAGTTAGCCCGGATGGGGTGGGCAAGGCCATTTTGACAACTCTAATCAGCTTTGTCAAGTTGTTGATTGAGTATTTTCAAATTTTTAGGAGTTGAATTGATCACAAGTGTTTAAGATTAACTTAAACCATTGTCGTTGATAATGTAAACTGTAATTGCATTGTTTAGATTTTATTAGCTAGCATACCATCACTACTTTGTTCTATTTACTGTTAATGAATCATGATTAACCAAAACATTAGAGATAGATATTTGATTAGACTTTTAAAATCTATTTATTTTTTTATAACTTGTATTTGATTAATAAGTTTTAGACCATCTTCAATCCACCTATATTTTACTCTTCATTCTCTATAGTTGGAGAGTAAAATAGAGTATGCCCTCTCCAACCCCTCTCTATATCACTCTCTATACTCTATTTATAGAGAGGTGAATAGTAGTTCTCCTCCAAATTTGGAGAACTACTATTCACCTCTCTATTTCACTTTTTGAATATTTTATTATTATTTTTATTACTTTCTAATTAACATATTATTTTACATACAATCTCATTAATTAAATATCTAATATTCATACTTCTTTTTAAATATAATATAATATTTTAAAAAATATTGTATTTAATATATACTACTTTCATCCCGAATTAATAGTATTTTAATTTTTTCTAATTTTCGTCGATAATATAATTTGATTTTATTATTAATTTTCACTATAAACAATACACAAAATTAAAATGATAAGCTGAAAATTTTAATTTAAAAATACAACACATAATATGATAATTTAAATACAAGATAACAATACAACACATAACATAATAATTAAAATACAAGATAAAATACAATACAATACATAACATAATAATTAAAATACAAGATAAAATACAATACAATACATAACATAATAATTATTTCACGATGAAACAAGAGTCATGTCGAAAAGATGTTGAACGTGCATTCGGAGTTTTGCAATCACGTTTTGCAATTTTTGCAGGACTGTCACGTTTTTGGAGAAAGGAAGTGCTACATGATATAATGATTACATGTATTATACTGCACATCATGATAATTGAGGATGAACGTGATCTTAATGCACCAATTCAAGATGTCGTAGAGGCTCCACCTCCAACGACAAAAATGGAGGTAGATGAAAATCTCCGATTTGAACAACTTTTAGCTAGACATAAAAAAATTAAGGACAAAAATACTATTTTGAACTCCGTAATGCATTAATAGAGCATTTATGGGAGTAACGTAGTAATTTCAAAAATTGAGTGTTTATGTAATTGTATTTCACTTTTATTTGAATTTGTCCATTAATTTGTATATTATATAATATTTTCTTGCAATTTATGTTATTTAAAATTTAAAATAAAATATAATTTTATATCACATGAAAATTATATAAAGTAATATTGAGAAAAAGAAATAAAAGATTTATCGTATGAAATAAGAATATAAGAATGAAACTGAAATAATAATATAATATTAAGGAGAGAGAAAAAAATTCTTTTTTAGAGGGTAAAATAGAAAATTGGATTGGAGTTGATTGTTTAAAAAAATAGAAAACTCTATATTTAGAGAGTAAAATAGAGTGTAGGGTTGGAGATGCCCTATTAAAAATTACTTTTATCGATTAAAACATGAATTCATGCGCTATCAAGATTTTTTTGATTTTTTTTTTTGAATTCTAAAAATCAACTTTTCATAGTACTGAAGAAATACTTATTTTCTTTAAAGCTAAGCTAAACACCTTAATTATCTAAAATAAACAAATTATATTTTAAATATAAAGCAACTCATTTTTCTTAAAAATAATAAAATAAAATAAGTTACTATCTCAATTTCATATTATTTAACTCATTTTAATTTGATACAATTTTTGAATAATATTTTATTAAAATATTATTTGCTGACTAATTATTTTAATGATATTTTAAAAACTCAAATTTAATTCTTATTTTTAATATCAAGAATAGAAAAAATATAATAAACTTTTTAAATTAAATAAATATTTATATTTGATATAAAGGCAAAGTAACCTCCCTCGCAAATGGAAATAAGACCAGTAATATAAATCAAGTCTATAATATAAAAAATATAAAATAAGGTTTTAAACACACCTTTCAGACATGATAACAACATACTCTGAGGTTCAATTTGGGGAAAACAAGTAACGATTCTGGCTTTGTTTCTTGGGCAGTAAGACAGATTTTTCGCCTTTTTTCTACGCAATCCATGAGACCTTTCCTCAATCAAACCTCAACAATCCACTTCTAGGGTTTTACTATCGTCAATCTCTGGTGATCTAGTAGAGTATTCAACTCTAAATCAAGAATTTAACATGGCGGAAGAAACATCACCGTCAAACTCTCCCGATGCGGTGGCATCAGCGGCGGCGGCGTCATTGGGTCATTCAGTAATTCCTATAGTGAACAAGCTACAAGATATATTCGCACAGCTAGGAAGTCAATCCACCATTGAGCTGCCGCAGGTTGCTGTTGTAGGGAGTCAAAGTAGTGGCAAATCAAGTGTTCTTGAGGCGCTTGTAGGTCGTGATTTCTTGCCTAGAGGGTCTGATATATGTACTAGGCGACCTCTTGTTCTACAGCTCCTTCAAACAAAGCGTAATCCTGATGGTACTGATGAGGAATGGGGAGAGTTCTTGCACCTTCCTGGGAAGCGTTTCTTTGATTTTAATGAAATTCGTTGGGAGATTCAGGTATTTCTTGATTTGCAATGGACTCTTGTTGAATTTAGAGTTAATGAATTTAAACTGGGTGCACTGCAATGTATGTAAGTTTATTTATTTTCTTAGCAATTAGCATATATATGCACTTTCCAATAGTAAAGTAGTTAGTTTGATTGAATAGGACATATTATGTATCAAGCCCTAACTCCTAAGTCCTAACTAGCCTCATATACTGAATCAGCCTATGCATTAGGTTATAACTACTGCAATGTATGTAAATTTATTAATTGTCATGCTAGTTATGATGATATTATTGGATAGATGTTATTGTACACGCGCCCTGAGAATAACTCATCTTAGATTGTTAAACAGTGAATTGGCATCTCATTTGTACACTTCTCCCACTAATTAAGTGGTTACATATGGACACTCCTTTTTTGTACAATGCTCTACCCCTACTGCAATATATACAATATCTATATGGTAAGCTGTATTCTAAAGATAGTGTGTCCCTGACATGAGCAAGGAGAAACAGTAGTTCTAATTGAAAGATTATTGGTTTGTCTGTGCATCAATTATGGTTAAACAAGATCGTTTTTTTTTTTTTTACAAACATGGTTCTCTACAAAAGACACCCAATATATCCTGGACCTACATGGGTGCACCAAAAAGAAAAATAAATAAGGGACTGAAGACTACTACTCAACTGCTCAAAACTCATTTCATCCCCTTCATAAGCCCTGTTATTTCTCTCCGTCCAAATAATCCACATCAAAGCCAGGGGAAAAAAGAGATAGTTATTAGACTGATCATGGATTTTGTTATGGAAATATATGCATAGTAACTTCTAGTAGCAAGGATTGCATGAGGAGGACACTCAACATAATGCAATCTCAGTTATTGATCACGTGGTTTCTTTTCCTTGAAATTTACTTCTTCTCTTTTATAACTGCCAATCTTCCATCATTGGTATTAGGCGGAGACAGCAAGGGAAGCAGGAGGAAATAAAGGAGTCTCAGACAAGCAGATACGGTTGAAAATTTTCTCACCAAATGTTCTTGATATTACTCTAGTGGATTTGCCTGGCATAACAAAGGTGCCTGTTGGTGATCAACCTTCTGATATTGAAGCTCGGATCAGAACTATGATCATGTCGTATATTAAGCTCCCAAGCTGCTTAATATTGGCTGTAACACCAGCCAATTCAGACTTAGCCAACTCAGATGCTCTTCAGATTGCTGGGAATGCTGATCCTGATGGTATGTTGCAACAATATATTCTATGCCAGGGAGTTTAGTTGCTTTTAGGTGCTTTCTTATATGAGAGATTCATCTTGCAGGTTATCGAACTATTGGAGTCATCACAAAGGTCAGTGTGAAAGGAAATTAATTTCATCCTTATGTTGATAATATTATTTCTCTGATATTTGTTTTAAATTGGTCGTGTTTTCACAGTTGGACATCATGGATAGGGGTACTGATGCTCGTAACTTTTTACTTGGAAAAGTGATTCCCCTTCGCCTTGGTTATGTTGGTATAGTGAATCGTAATCAGGAGGTAATACATCCATTTTTTCTTTTTTCTTTTTCTTTTAGGAGGTAATACTTCCAGCTACACATCTGGTGGAGGATATAGTTTCTCACGAGTTTTTGTTTATTTCTTGAATTTGGCTCATTTAATTCATATGTATGTTTTGGAGTTGCATATGAGGTTACCATATTTCTTTTAAAATCATTTATTATTATTAGGTATATTGTGAAGGGTGTAGAACCAAAAATGAAAAATTGTCCACTTTCTTCATGGATATCTACAGTCTTCAGGTCTCTGAGAGGCACCTCTACCAAGTTTTCTTTTCTTGGGAGTGTTTTGTTTATTTATTTCTATGTTATTGTTATTCTTACTAAATTTTAACTGATACCTTTAAAAATATGTGGTTTTGATCATTTTTGTGGTCATCTTGCACAACTTCTTTCGGACAAGAAATTCTGTTGCGCTGGCAATACTTATTTTTCAAATACTGTGCAGTAGATTGCATATTTACCTTTGTAAAGATATGACACCTGGGCCTAACTCAACCCCAAAAGCTAGCTCTTGAGGGGAGGTTAGCTCATGATGAGAGGTTTGTCCAAGCCCATATAAGGAGACCAAATTCCCATCCCTCTACCGATGTGAGACTTCTTAACACTCCCCCGCACGCCCAGACCCAGACCTCAACTGGAGCGTGAACACTTCTAAATGGGAGCCCAACATCGGTGAACAACAAATTGGGATGGGTCTGGCTCTGATACCATGTAAAGATATGGCACCTAGGCCTAACTCAACCCCAAAAGCTAGCTCATTAGGGGAGGTTTGTCCAAGTCCATATAAGGAGACCAAATTCCCATCCCTCTACCGATGTGGGACCTCTTAACAACCTTCATTTCTGGATAATGGGATACATTTCAGGTTTGGTTTCCCTCTAAATCTCTTGGGTGCTAAATTGGTATTTGGCTGCTAGCTTTTCATTTTGTTGTGTGATTTTTTTTAGAACACAAAGTAATCTTTATTGATACTCCAAGCCGATGTTTTATTTTGAATCCTTATATAATACAATTATTTTAAGGATAATTTAAAACACTAATAGGGCGCCATAACCAAAAAATCCAAGGAAGCATCTACAATCAAGCCTATGATGGGTCAATAGAGGTAATAAGCTGTTCAAGCTTTATGATTCCTCTCTGCACTCTTTCTTTTTGTGCCAAAAGAGGAGTCTGAGATATTATGGCACCCTATAACAGTCTCAAAGGACAGATGGATGAAAAGAGAAAGTTATAGACATTGAGCACCAGAACGAGTGTCAAGATCCACTGCAACTTTACAGTAGTGAAAAAACTTGAAAATCTTTAAAATTGTATTCAACTGCGGAAATTCTTAGCAGCCAGTGCGTAATATACAACAAACCTACTTTGTGTACTGCTTGTAGTAGTCAGGATTTATTAGTTTATACAAGTACAAGGTAAGGATTTTGTTCATCAGAGAGAAAACCACTGGGTAACAAGATAACAGTGTGCTACGTATGAGCAACAGTATCTGTGTGCATATATTCATAAATATACGTATATTGCTTTATAAGTCTTTAATCCTATAGCTGAATTATGCAAAACAGGATATTATGATGAACCGGAGTATTAAGGATGCACTTGTAGCTGAGGAGAAGTTCTTCCGCAGCCGTCCTGTATGTTTTCTACCATCTCTTATGTAGTTGATTTCATGTCTACATCCATTAACAATCTTCTGTTTTATCTATTTTTTCTCAAAGGTATATAGTGATCTTGCTGATCGCTGTGGTGTACCTCAATTGGCTAAAAAGTTGAACCAGGTAATCTATGCTGGTTAAAGTAACAGTGATTCTTCTTTTATTAGGTTGCCACATTGCTCGCATTACATCCTTGTAGGACCGAATATTTATATAAAATGTGAACCACAATAAGGTCAAACATTATATTTTATTATTTTTAAGTCATTATAAAAGTATCTCCAAATCAATTAATAAATTATAAGTTTCATCCTCTACAGTTATTTTTGCGTTTTTAAATGTAATTGACATGTTGAATTCAAAAAAGAAAAGGGGGCGAAAGGTCATGTTTTGAGATATACTTAGACATGCTTACCTTGTCACTGGTGGTTGTAAAAAAGTTTTTTTTTTTACACAGTGATCATGTTATGGCACACGAGAAGCACAACATGAACATTTATACATGTAGTGGCCTGTGTTATACCTTTCTTTTTGTGGTTTCCAGCATCTGTGATCAGGGATTTACCAAGCAGTTTGTTTCTTCTTGAAAATAAACATCATAATCTGGACGCACAAATTCTATGGTCATGTTCTGTATGTGTCAATCTGGTCTCTAATGCATACCTTGCTGTTTGTTGGATGAGAGTAATGTCTTCCTTGTTATTTTTACTTATATATGGGGATATTTTCTCCAATGACATGTTAAGGCTGTCTTTCCTGTTTACCATTGCACTTTTTTTTACTTGCATTTGTGCAACAGATACCTGTTGTGTTCTTATTGTTTTCCACATCAATGGGATGATTGGCTATCACCCACCTTCAGCCCAATCCCATTGTCCTGTTCCAAAGGAAATGCAAATTTTCCAAGCGTGCTGTTTGCTTTCCAGTTGTGGTATGGGACATCTTGTTGTTTTGAAATCAGTATTAACTTGAACTTCTTTGTTTAATGCAGATTTTGGTGCAGCACATCAAAAAACTCCTTCCAGGATTGAAATCACGCATTAGTGCTGGACTTGTGTCTGTCGCAAAGGAGCATGCTAGCTATGGGGAGATCACCGAGTCAAAGGTAACTTCTTTTGTCTTCCCTATGCTTTACTAAGCACTGGACTGAAGTTCTGGGGAGTTTGTTGTCATAGTACTACCAATTGTTGAGTTCTGGAGGGTTTCTTTCTGCTAGGGTTATTGTAGTTTGCTCAGCTAGTGTTTTTGAACTATTTATTGACATCATTGTACTAATCCGCTGAATCTAGGCTGGTATGGGTGCTCTCCTTCTGAACATTCTTTCCAAGTACAGTGAAGGTAATGTGGCCTAAACCTTGCAATATTTGATAGTAGTCCTCTACTGGATTCGATCTCCTATATCTAATGTTGCTTTCTAGTATAAATTTCATATTAATTGGCCATTTACACTTCCTAACCTCATTACCAGTTTGTATTTTTTATTTTGTTTTTTTCTTTGGGTCGAGAGCAGCATTCTCTTCAATGATAGAAGGCAAAAATGAAGAAATGTCAACTTCTGAGCTGTCTGGTGGAGCAAGGATTCATTACATTTTTCAGAACATATTTGTGAAGAGTTTGGAGGTCTACTTCTTTCATATTAACTTTTTTTAAATGGGTAAAAGTTTTGTGAAGTTTCATATTACCGTTTGCAATGCCTACTTTATTCTTTTATTGCTTGGAGAATTGAAATTCATCTGTAGACTTGCTAATGTTTTCAGATAAATGATATTGATGCCCTTTTTGTCAATAGATAGCTAGTATGTATGCTTTCGTTGGTATGGTCAACTCTGAATGGCTTATAATACTTTTATTGGGCATTAACTTTTTTATCACTAAGGTCTTCATAAATTGTTGCTAAGGTTGTGGCGCACATGTACATAAGCCATTCATCTATTGTCCTGGTTTTCATCCACGTACAAAGTCGCATAATTGAAATCTATCTTCCATTGTGAATAGTCTTTTATCGACTAGCTCCTTACTTTAGTAGATCATATGGATGTAGAAAAAGCAACTAATTTGGATGAAATAGAAACATCTCTTTTCCATTTCTATTTACCCAGTTCATATCTTTGTTTCGTGTGTTCCTGGGAGGAATTCGATCTCGGAATACCACCTAAATAACTACGGTCAGAGAGTCAAATAGGTCGGGAAGAAAGAGTCTGAGGTCGGGTCGGACGACATACATCTTGGTTGGTTCCACCACCACTAGAGATTGGACATATATATAATCTTTCTTCTAAAAAAGGGATTCTTATATATATTTTTGAAAATAGCTGCAAGACAAAAACCGAAAGCCCTTCTTTTATTGTTGTTCCTCCCAGATGCATCATCACATGGTCGTCGTGTAACTCCTCGAGAATCATGTCATTTGCCTGTCACGTGTTGCCACCAGAGTCATAAATACTCGAAGTAAGCTCCTGGCTCGCCCCTATCTCTAAAGGGGCTTACGAACGCTGGTTATCCAACATCACAAAATGCTTTGATCCCATTACAAAAATCAAGTATATCTCTATGGATGTTACTTGATTTTCAAATCAACCCTTGTTCCATGAAAACATGAGTGAACGGTCAATTATTGTTGAGAGAATTTGAAAGGCCGAGACTGTAAAAGGCTCTTCTCCTTTACTTTTTTAGAGCGTATCACTATTTTGAAATAAAAAAAAGGTTTATGGATGAAGTAATCAGAATGACAAGTGGTTACGGTTGCGGAAAGTGGAGAAAGTTCCCTTCCATCAATAAACCACAAATTTTTACAATAAGGTTTCATATACAAGAATTCTAAATCTTCAAGGCTGTAAAAAATGTGAATGACAGACAAAAGAACTTTTCAGTAACTTTGCATAATTAGTATGTTGATGTGTATAATTAGAATGTTTAACCTAGGTTTAGTTGCTTATTAATCAGATTTCTCTTTCTCCCGCAGGAAGTTGATCCCTGTGAAGATTTGACCGATGATGACATCCGAACTGCCATTCAAAATGCAACCGGTGCCAAATCTGCATTATTTGTGCCAGAGGTAACTCCAAAGGATTTAACCTGTTCATTTCTTTTGAGCAAATATTTCAACGCTTTCTTGAATAATTCCTGTAGTATTTATGACAATTGGTTGGTCACATCTTAATTATTGTGTAAATATGCAGGTCCCATTTGAAGTTCTCATTCGAAGGCAAATAGCACGTTTAATGGACCCGAGTTTTCAATGTGCACGATTTATATATGATGAGCTGGTTAAAGTAGGCCAATGTTGACAACCTTTTTATTCTGGTTATGCATTTTTATAATTGCTGTTCTAACTTGAATGATTCCTTCGTAGATGAGCCATCGTTGTATGGTCAATGAGATGCAACGTTTTCCAATTTTGAGAAAGCGCATGGATGAGGTTATTGGAAATTTTTTGCGTGAAGGACTGGGACCTTCAGAAGTAATGATTGGACACCTTATTGAGATGGAGGTATGTCAAAATGTTGGGTGTTTTATTTGGTTTTGCTTATACCTAACACAACAAACATATTTGATGTTCAAGTTTGTTGAGTTGATTGATAAGTGTCAACTATTTTTGAAATATTATGCTAGAATTTCAACCCGTTCTTTCCATACATAGCACAATCAAATTTTACAATTGCTGTATTGTTCTGCAGTTGTAATTAACTAATGGTATCAGGGTCTATGCTCATCTGACATCTCAGATAAAAACTAGCTCATTTGATAGTTGCCAAAAGCATCTTGATGTAAAAGTTCGTGAATTGCTTTAGCAAATCACTAAAATTCTTATGAATCTTTTGCTGTTAAAGTTTGTATATTGTTCAACGTAATTGTTTTTCTGTTGCAGATGGATTACATAAATACTTCACATCCAAATTTTATTGGTGGGACTAAAGCTCATGAGATGGCATTACAACAGGTCAAGTCCTCTAGGATTGCTGCACCTAATCCGAGGCAGAAAGTAAAATTTTCATTTGCTGTTCATAGACTTTTGCAATTGGTCTTGCAAATTATATCATACTGATATATATATATTTTTTGCTTATTGCTATTCAGGATGGCGTAGATTTAGAAAAAGCACCAACCTCTGAAAGAAGTCTGAAATCACGTGCTATACTTGCCAGATCAGTTGGTGGTTTTGTCCCTGATCAGGTTGGCCTTTTCTGCATCATCTCCAAGTTTAGTTTCTTCATCATCTCCCTGATCAACATTGCACAGCTTTCAAATTTCAAGTGTTACTTGCACTGATTAGTGTTCTTTTTGACTGGGACAGGTTGTTCGGCCTGCTCCAGAAGTTGAGAAAACTACAGCATCAGGTGCGTTTCCATCTGGTGATACATGATGTGTTCATTTATGCCACATGTTTGTTAATTGAACGTACATGAGTTATTAGTTATTTTTTGAGAATTGGTAACAAAAATAACTATTAAATGAGTTATTAGTTATTTTGACAAGTTAAATATCTTATTGACAAGAAGGAAAGAATATTGTATACAAGGATTAGCCATTTGCAAATGCGGCTTTATGAATAAGTCCTTCCTTAAGTAACTTGTGGTTCACTGAAGCTCAAAAACTCCATGAACTTTTATGTTGCTCGTATTATGAATTCATGTCCTTTCTCCTTATAATCTTTAGAAAATATTTTTTTGCTCGGTGCTATTACCCAGCCATTGCTGATATATCTCTTCATTAGGATCAAATGTTGGTTCAAGTTGGGGAATATCATCAATATTTGGTGGCTCGGACAATCGTGCATCTGTAAAAGACAATTTCATTAACAAGCCATTCAGTGATACTGCACTGAGCATGGATCATGCTTTCTCAATGATCCACTTGAGAGAGGTATTTTGAAGGCCCTCTCTGCCGTATGATTACTTTATAGATTAGGTTGGTGATAACTGATAAAATTAAACATGACATCTCTATGTGTTTTGCTTGAAGCCCCCAAGTGTCTTGAGGCCTTCAGAAACTCATTCAGATCAGGAGACTATTGAAATTGCCATTACAAAACTGTTATTGCGGTCATACTATGACGTTGTCAGGAAGAATATTGAAGACTCAGTACCTAAAGCAATCATGCATTTTCTGGTAATTCTGAATTGCAATGACTTGGTCCTTCACTTATTTCATGCTTTGATATTTTTGACCTCTATGTGGGTGGCCTTTCAATGGACTTATGCTTAGGGGTTCTCCATTTAGTGGCAGTCTTGAGGATTCCTAAATCTACTCTTAGTGGCAGTTTCTATGTTCTGATTAAATGATAATAGAAGTTCTTCCCATCTCGTTGCGTTCTCTTATTTCCTTCTTAAGGATGTTCTCTTTCAGTTATAATTTTCAGCACTTAGAAGACACTGACCCTAGAATATGTAGTAATATGCCAACATGGGATTTTAGACAACCTGGGGGCGGAATGGATAAAACAAGCACAGTAATCTGCTTTCTTTTATTTTCTTAAAGCACAGGGGAATAGTGGTACTGTTTGGTCTTCTGCCAATAGTTCAGAGGCTAACTTTTATCTGGGGAAAGTAACTTTCTCTATTCTACCTTCATCTAACTTTGTATTGTGTCATAGTATCGATCTGTCAAGTGTATTCCTACAATTGCTGATTCTGACATTCTGTGAAAGTTGTGAAGTTCTTTATTTTATCTGGTGGAAATTTCTGTATTGTTGGAACTGTCGACTACTTTTTGTTGATAATTTTTTCTAATTAGCCAATATGAGGGAAATAGTATCTGGTGTCTGTTAACTTCATTTAGACTCTGGGTGTTGTGTTTTCGTTTTTTTAGTAAGAATGCTACTGTGATCTTCATTTTCGATTTGGATTTCTTTTTTGTTGACAAAAATGGTGTTAATCCTTTCTCCAGGTAAATCACACCAAAAGAGATCTTCACAATGTGTTCATCAAGAAACTCTACAGGTATTGGAAGTAGAATTTCTTTTTTATCAAAATACTTTGCCAGGATAGTGGCTAATTGATCCTTCATTAGCTTAGCAGCATGAATTTTATGTGCTTATGTACTTGTATGTTGTTTCTAGCGCCTGGCTGCTTTAGCCAAATCAAGTGCTACACATTTTTCCAGTACTCGTAGTTCTTATCAGTGGTGCTTGCTATTTTGTTGCAGAGAAAACCTCCTCGAAGAAATGTTGCAAGAACCTGATGAGATAGCCATGAAGAGAAAGCGTACACGTGAGACACTTCGTGTTCTTCAGCAAGCTTTCAAGGTCAAATCGCTACCATTTTCACTCTTGAGTATATTTTTGCATATATATACATTTCAAGGCTCACTACACTAAGCTTTATGATAGAATGTTTATGGTTTTGATAACTAGAATCTTATTTTACTCTTTGTTTAGGAACCAAGGAGAAAAGTTTGTTTAAGTTGGGAAGAAGTATCACAACATTAACTCCTAATATACTTTGCCTAATTCTCATTTTCATTGTACTCGTGAAATCAGTTTAGCCAGATATTCTGTTTGCCATTGAACACCTTGTGAAACTGTCTGTAACTATATCCTTGTGGTTCTGATTCTTTAAGATGTTCTGTTTGTCATCATTATCTAGGTTTCCTTGGCTTATAATGACTTACGTAGTACCATTCAGCTGGAACTAATGTTTTGTGGTTTGCAGACATTGGAGGAGTTACCGCTTGATGCTGAGACAGTTGAAAGGGGTTATAGCTTGGGTACTGATCCGACAGGCCTTCCAAAGATTCACGGGCTTCCAACATCATCAATGTACACTACAAGCAGTGGCTCTACTGATTCATACACCGGTTCTCCTAAGAACTCTAGATTGCGCAATGCATCCCATTCTGGTGAGCTACAGTTACCAATGTATGGCGGTGCAGTTTCAAATGGTAGTGGGCATAATGTTGGTATTTTTCCAACAGTAGGTGTATAGGAGACTCAATAGATGCAGGGGTTGACCATTCATGAGTGAATTTATTTGCTCTCTCCACCATCATCGCAAACCCTGTCTCTGGTGCAGTGGAGTGCTACTATTCTTTGTCATGGGAGGTGTTTTGCTAAGCTGATCACTATTCGCTTTTACCCACATATTGTCTATTTCTTCATCAACTTTAAATTCATTGTTCGTAGAAGCTTGTACAAAAAAAAAAATTAATAGGAAGTTTTCGTCTTTAGAAGATGAGGCTAGTTTTGTTGCCTTTTGGTATGATAATTGGCAATGTATTATCTAGCCGTCAATTTTTGAGTTCGATCATTTGCTTTCTCAATTTTTTTCAAATGCGATAGTAGGAGATATCATCACTTGTGTATATTATGCCTTTCATTTTGGGAGAGTCTTGTCATTTTCTGCAACGATGCTCCTCTTCGATACAGAATACAGATTGCTGTAATTTGAATGTTATTCCTCTGGTACCTGACAAAGTGGCTCAACTTTTGTGGTCAAAATTATAAAACCCAAGTGTGGTTTTCTACATGCTTTACTATATTAGTCCTTGTCTTGATGTTATAGTATAATGAATACTTCTTTATAAGCCATCTATTGTTTAATCGTGCATTAGAAATAATTAAACCCAATCATACGTCACATTGGTGGATTTTGGATTATGCAAATATCTTTTCACCCCGATATAACGTGGCACTAGTTCTAATAACAATTAACTTACGTACATCAACTTTCCACATGTTATACTGCCTTCTTGATTTTTGATCTGTTTCAAAAAACAGTAAGTATTATATTTCGCAAGACCATAAGATTCAAAAGGTACATTACAAAACAAAAAATCAAGCAACTTTTTTTAAAAAAATCCGTGCTAAGTAAAAGCTAAGATAAACAAATTAAAATGAGGGAGCAACACTTTTCAGATTTGTTTGTTAAAGGTTATGCAAATATCTCAAAAAAATTATTTTCTAGTAAGAATCAATAGTGATAAATGAAACTGATTATTAAATTAGATGAAATAATCCAAACTAAGCAAGCCCCCCTCCATGTTCCCCTTCTTTTCTCTTCTAAAGTGTAGTTTTTCTTCGGACAAATACACCGTTGCAACACTTAGAAGTATAATAAGAGAAAGAGGATGGAAGAAAACATAAAATTCCAGAAATTTTATGACATAAATTAACCAAAGTATATACAAATATCCAGTACTTCCTATGTCCCAACTCCTAACATACATAAGGCGAGCTCTTGGCTATAATATTGACAGATGCTTTACAAATTTTAAAATAACACCTAGTATCGACTGGAATCTTCAAGCTCTAGACATCAACTTGGAATAGTGTATGTCATGTCGCAGGCCAGTGAACACTCATATGTGAATCAATCCCAATCTGTAATACAAACAAATGATGTTCAGATTCATTAAGGAAGAGTTTTAATTCAATGGAGTAATAAATATACCAATTTTAGAAGTCTTCAACACAATCACAAGCAAACGAAAACATCTTGCATGAAAATAGGACAGACCTGTTCATCGAAGTTTGCAGGAATCTCAAATTCAGTTCCAGAAGCATTTGCAAGTGCGTCGAGATTATCCTGCTGAATCAAGATGCTTGGTAAGTGAAGCTTTTGAAAGATTTAGCAGGTGTTTGGACATGAATTTGTTGATATTTCAAAAAATATATATATATAGTACTTCAAGTAAAGTTAAAATGGTATATGGAAGTTCAACTTGTGTTTGGACATGAAAACAAAGTTGAAGTTGTGAGTGCGAACTTGAAAAAACTCCTTAAAACCATTTTTCAAACTTCATTTTTCAAGTTTGAAGTTGATATAATTGGCCAATTTAAGAAGCAAACACTTGGTCAAAAAAATCTCCAAAAAGTTTTGAAAAAATGGACAAATGGGCTTTGTGTCATCCATCATGTTCATGGACAACAAATAACAGTCGACCATCACGAGAACATCCCTCTTGAAAAGTCATCATCTAAACAACGAAATCAGGAAAAGGGAAAAAGAATGTTCAAACTGAGAAACATCAAAGATTATTCGGAAGGTACCTCTTCATCAATGTTAACTGAAGAACTTCCAATACAGAAAGGAGAACTATCAGCAAAGTTTTCTGTAGCTTCTTGCATATCCTACATTAAAAGATATCACCAGCCTATCAGCACTGTTAGAATTCAATGCATGTGGGAGCAAACGTCAAATTCTTTTTTTCCAACAAATCAAAGTCATCATATAAAAGGCATTAGGAGATCGTCCAAAGAGGGACACATTATAAAGTTATGCAAGGAGCAAAGCATCCAAAATCACAAACCATGCACTCTATACATTGATGAATGTTACTTCACAAATGTACCCAAAAGGAATAAAAAAGTAAACAACTGTGATCTTTTAAATAGAGATTTCCACTACATTAAAAGCCTACTGCTAGCTTCTTTCCCTCCCTCCATCCCATACTAAATGTCCAACCATCCAAAAGGGTTTGCACATAATGGGACTGAGCTACAAAAAGAGAGAAAACTAATCACTGTAAACTTGCTCCTTTCTTTTTTTGTAGAAATCACTCTTAACTAACTCCTTATCTACCCGAAAGTTGGATACTTAAAATTATAAGTTCCTTGTATGGGAATCCTCGTTCAGACAACTCAGTCTTTTTAAGGGAAGCAAGAGGGGATCCGTGTGATGACAACATCACTTAAGCCGTCAAGTCAGAGATTAACATGATAGAACAAACAATTTCAGAGAGCCGTCAATATAAACCAAAAAGACTTCAAATATGACTACCAGCTCAGCAGTGGTAACTGAAGGATTTTCCTCCGTTAGTTTTGTCTCTCCCGAACTTCCCTGTTCAAACCCAATGAACCACAGTTAAACAAAAAATAAAATGAAGAGGAACATGCAAGGAAGTTTTCAAATGCCCAAATTTCCATTTTAAATGTGTTTTCCAACTCATCAAGACTCCAAAAACTGGACCTCAAAGGAAAGAAGGGAGGATAGTCATTCAATTACGCCTGGAAAATTTAGGCATACTATGGTTCCAAGAGAACTGCATGCAAAATACTGTCTCCACTTCATACCTATACAATAATTTCGCCTCAATACCGCTTATTAAAAAAGATTTACCTCTTGATGTTGCTTTAGATAAGAATTCTCAGGTGCAAAGGTAGACAGCTTGATATCAGGAGTTCCCTACATGACAAAGAAAAAATCAGTACTACAAAGTTGAACAATAAACTACAACCTAACAAACTCTTGATAGATTAGAGGTAAAGGTACAAACATTTAGGATTTGTATGTAAACATAGTCACAGTGGAAATTTTTGGATCACATGCAAGAGGAACTAATTTGATTAGTCAAGAAAAGAATAAGACAGGAGGCTTTGTCTGGAGGGAAAAGAATGATTTAGTAATTCAGAGAAAGATTTCATGTAGGAATCTGCATCTTAAGAGAGCTCCACTACATGCTTGTTGTTTAATTTCTTTTTCCTACCCTTTTGTTGAAGAGGGGGAGAGGGAGAGGGCACTTCCATATTGATGCTTCATCACAGCATGTTCCATAAGTATTGATCCTCAAATTGTCTATCATTGACAATGTACATTAAACTGGTTCTGTAAGATAGAGGGATGTGTCACTTGTTCTCAATTTACTTACTGGCTCGTTTTTGTCAAAGGGTACATGACTCCCTCCCTTTGTAATATCTCTTAACATACCCTAGAAATGAACAAAAACAAAGGGTGAATGATTAATATGATTGAAAATAAACAAATAAGAACCATCAAGTTTAAGAATGCATTTATTCAGAGCATCTAGAAAGATCAACATACACTTCAACATTTGAATCATATCCAAGAATAGAAGATCAACAGAATACATGTAAATGACATGCCTGGTTTGCAATCCATTATTTTCACAGCAATAAACTAAATAAGCCTTTATAGTGTTTGCCATAAGACTAAAATGGCAGTGCAAGTAAAGAGAAATCAAGATCTAAATGATCAGGTCAACTCTTAATCCAGTAATCTGGTAATTGACGTTGATTATTGTCCCTGAGAACCTAAGCCAAGACTAAATCAACATAAGAAATGCATTGATTATTGATTATTGTTTTGATCATCAACTGAATGTCAGCAAAACATAAGAAATGTGTGTTCGAGAAGGTCCTTTTTTCGGGTTTGATGTTTTTTGGGGGTGGGGGAACAGAAAAAACAGGCAGACCAACTGCGCAATACCTTGTTTGCCCACATAAGCCCACAAGCATTGCAGAGCGTTCTAGGGCCCAATGGGCCCCGCCGCATCGCAGGGGTCTCACTTTCATTAGTACCACAGTGGTGACATCTTCGTAGTCTGTAAGTTCAAAGGGAAGTAAATGCAGATTATAAGGGGAAAAAGAAAAAGTAAAATCCTAAGCCAATAACATAAAGAGTAAAGGAATAGTAGAAATTTACATAGCCTTAAACAAAGATGTCTTATTTTGCTAGTTTTTTGGTGCGACAGGATGTTGATGCAATTTTAAATACAATTAGGGACTATGTAGTTATGTTTTCTTGCATTGGCTTAGTGCAAGCATTTATAAAATCTTCGCTTACTTATAAAAAAAAAGAGACTGCAGAATAGTAGGCCAAATATGAATGCTGAATTGTAAATAAGCCCATTGACGTGAAGAGACAGCAGGAAAAGTAAGCTCAATATGAAGCAAATACGTCATTGTGTCATAGGTTTGCTACTGTTTTCTGTTTTGATTTGTCAACATGCTGACTCGAACCCATAGCCGTAAGGTTAGAGGTGGAGGTGCTTTCCACTTGAACTACCCTCATAGTTTAGTTATTTCTGAATGAAACCCTCCATTTCATACAATAATAGCCATTGTTACACAAGTTAAATGTGGAAAAAGTCAAAGTCTCAAGGCCCTCAACTACCAAAACACAAAGCATAAAGCAGACAAATCACAGAGCAACTGATTCTTAACAAAGATGTTACTGGTATGAACTGTCAGAAGTAAGGTACTAGGTTCATACTTACGTAGGTTCAGAATGAGCAGCACTGTCCCCTGAATCAATATTGTCAGCAGACGACTTTTCACCCTCCTTTAAAGAGGCAAATTGTCCATTTTTACGATGCATCCTATAAACAGTGCAACTAAAACAGTCAAAAGAATACTAGAGTAATCAACGTCATTACTAAATCTTGAATTTGAATGACAATAGTTTCCAATGAATCTAGACAAGTTCGAAAACCTTAATAATAACCAAAAACATTTTTTTTGAAAAATCATATTTACTTCATTGTACCATTATACAGCCAGTACTTTTTGACCGATCTACTTCAAACAAGTATTTAAAATTTATTGATACCAGTCTACTTCAAATATTTGGGCCACTTAAGTAGTCTCTAAATGATACTTTTTTAAGAAGTATCACACTAACTGAAACCAATTAAGGCAACGAGTAGAAACATTCTTCTTCAATGATCCTTTTAATATATTAATCATCAAACACAATGAAGAAAAAACCAAGGACTGCAACCTTCGCCTCACCTCTGTGCAACTTCTTTCCGACAAGCATAACGAATTGTTTTCTCAAAGCATCTATCTTTTTTCTTCTCCCGGAATCTAATCAGAGATGCCATTCTCGGAGAAATGTTTTGCCTGGTGTTATCAACACTCTATAAACATAACCCAAAAATCAGTGAACATCCACAGCCCCCAGGCCCCAGTAAGCTCTGGTTTAACCACACATAAATTGAAAACAAGCTCCAACTGAACTCAACGCACCTTAGTATTTTGCAGTGCAACAGAATCTGTGTTAGGTACATAACTAGGCACCTCACACCCTCCTAATAATAGCATCACCGCTTGCACCTGCGAGTTTTACACTAACAAAAATCATACATCATTCCTTGAATTCAATTGTAACCACATTGGGCAAATAGAACAAATTGACTTGGAAACTCTTCAATTACACAGCCTCAAATAAAATTGAACCTTTTCAGGAGTAACAGCTGGGAATACATAGACTTGGCCTTCGAAAGAAATAGTAAGCTCACTAGTCCGCGAGGGAACAGCCATAACTCTGCCGCTATCTACAGGGCCAGCAACAAGCGGCATAGAGCAAACCTGCAACTCTTCACCGCTACTCATCGCCTCCTCATAGCCACCGCCAACACTGATATCATCAGCCTCAAATCCTCCACCTCCATATCTATCTACTCGAATTGGTACATTCATATACTCCTGCTGAAACGCTACTACTCCATACTGCCCACCTAGCATATTCCTCGAATTATCCGCCGCTTCCATTTCTCCAGAAAAAAAAATTCACTGTAAAAACAGAAGAAAAACAACAAACTATATATACATCTGCATGTGTTTTGTAAGTACATGAAAATGGTGAGGAGAATTGAAAAAACCCTAACCCTAGATAGATTCTGATACTAATAAAATCCCAGAAAGTTGATAAAGAATTGCAGAGAAAGGGCAACTGGAAATGTAGTTATATTTAGCTGAATTATTTTTTGATAAGAATTAAGGAGGGGGAATTTAGAAAATTTGATTCATAGGAAAAGACTCAAAAGGGTAAATGGAGAGGAAAGAAGCAAAACCGTTGATTTATATGATGGTGTCACGTGAAACGTCCATTTATTTAGCGTATCGAGTCACGCTTTATGCACTTTTGTCCCCACCCGTCACGATTATCATATTTGTATATATATAAAAATAAAAATCTTAGTAGTAGTAAAAAGACAGGCGGGGAAAACTATGAGATGTATTCACAAAGATTTTGAAGTTTTTTTAAAATATTATTTTTATGAAAAAAATTATGATGTTGAATTTGATTTGGTAAATAATAAGTTTATAGACTATAGTAATTTCTTTTCATGAACGCACTATTTGACTTAATGATATAATCATTGTTATTCGTTGTATTATTGTATTGTATTATTCTCTCCGTCCCATTTTATGTAGGTAGTTTGACTCGATATGGAGTTTAAGAAAGAACAAAAGACTTTTAAAACTTGTGGTCCACGGTGAATGATAGGAATTTGTGTGACTATAAATCATTTCATTAAGGGTAAAATATATATTTTATAGTTAAATTGTTACTTAATATAGAATGTGTCATTCTTTTTTAAACTAACTGAAAAGGAAAGTAAGTCCATAAATTGAAAAAAGAGGGAGTATTAGTTTAAATACAATGTTTGTTCTGATTGTTACTTAAACTAGTATACGTGCCTGCGCATTGCGCAAAAATTATTAAAAATTATTTAATTACTCGAATATAATGCATCTTTTTTATTTTATTAAAATATAATTATCATTTTATTGTCAATGAAATGTACTTAATAACATAAAATTTATATAACTAAAGGAACAAATCATATAAATGCATGCGATCATCAAATAACATTTTTGATAAAACTAAATATTAAATTATATATTTCTTATACAAACGTTTCAAAAATATATCATGATTAAAAATAAAAAAAATACATTAACTAAATAATTTATTTATTTTTTAAAAAAAATTGTAATAATTTTAAAATATTTATTTTAATAATAAATTCCTCATATTAATGATCAATCAAAAGTTGAGTACAAAAATGCATAACAATTAACAACCTTTATTAATTTCATATTGATTAAGTTTCTACGTTTCTACTCCTCTACTTGTTATCTAAGTAAAGTTAAACATTTTTTTTTTTTAAAAAGACTACGTTAAAAAATTGTATATCCACTAACAAAATTAAATATATGATAAAAGTTATAACTAAGAAGCATTACATTAAATTATGAAACAGTTTAAAAGTTAAGTACATTAAAAACATGATTTTTATTTTAAATTATATAACCATATTTTGTGGGAATGTAGTTAATCATTTCCACAAAAATAGGTTCATCTAGAGTTGAGAGACGATATATTTGGGAATTTTTTTATATAATAATAAAATATTATATTTCTTAGAAGTCCGAAAAAAATTTAAATAACAATTAAAAGTATTTTTCATTTTAATTATAAATATTATTTTTAACATGTTCTTTGTTGCCAACATTTTTGTGGAAGCAACTGAATGTATTTCAAATTCATTGTTATCCATTATTAATTATTAGATTTAAATTTTTTATTTCTATAACATAAATTGCTAAATTAAATTAATTTTGTTAATTCAATATAAATTTTGTTTTTAAAAGAATCCATTATTCATGAATCGGTTATTTTAACTACATAATTATAATTAGTTAAAAAAAAAATTGTATTTTTTTAATTCTGTAGTTTCTTATTAAAATTAATTTTTTTGAACATTTGTGATGGTCACTGATTTAGTTTACAAATATTTTTAAAATTTTAATTTAATTATTTCTTCTTTGTTATTTTATCTTTCATAATCTTAAATTGCATTTTCAAACTATTTAATTTTTAGTTATTTTTACACTAATTTTACTAAACTTTATTATAATAATTAACACCTTTCAAAGCTATTTTAAAAGTAGAAAGTTAACATGTGCTGTTAGAATATTTTTTTCTTTTTAATTTTTTAACGCGTAATTTAGGAGTAGATAATGTTAATAAATTTTATTATAACACTTTTATATCTGTTTTCACTACTTTTTGCATAATTTTTTTTAAAATGGCAATCATTTTTTGTCTATTTTTTAAATACGGGATTAAAAAAATGACTGATTAAAATTTGTAAATGGTATTTTAAATTTAATTAATATGATTATATAACTCTAATTTTAAGTAATTCATAAATCAATGATCATAATCTGAAGTTGCAATAAGTATAAAAAAATATCAAAAAAAAAGAAAGAAAGAAAAGTAATGGACTTATAAAACATGTAATTAACTTTCAGATTATTTAAAATATAATACATTTAAGTTATTGTATGTACTAAATGTATATATTTTCTAGCAAAAAGAAAATGCTTAATTCTAAAAATTCTCGACAAAACCTCTACTCTTTTACTATGTTTGTCACTAAGAAAAAAATTGCAATTATGTTTTTGTTTCCTGTGTGCTTGTATTAATATTGAAGCATGGAATGTTACTGAGAGATTCATCGCCTTGCCAGTAATGTTATTTCATGAAACTACTTACATTAATGTCCTTTAATTTAATGAGGGGATAAGGTTAACCGATTGTTCTTCCATCATAAGTGTTGAGATATTGTTGGGTTTGCAAGATCTTCCACTTCAATCAACAAAGATTTGCTCTGTTCCGTACCTATGAAGTATATATGTACATCATCATGTATAAGAGAAAGTGTTAACAATGACAAATAAAATTGATTAGTTGCTTTAACCTTCAAAATAGAAAAGCATACAAAAATATTGTTAAATTGTTCAAAAAACAATATACTTTGGTATAAGCAAGAAAAAAAATGATGAATCACATACCAAATATTTTCATCAAATTCCATTGAAAATGAGAGGAACATGAAACTTTTCCAAATAAAAACCGTTTGAAAATTTGAAAACTCCTAGAATTAAGATAAAAGGGAGAAGTTGTAACTATCTAAAAGTTTTAAATTTAAAATTTTAATTCTTATTTTTCAGTTTTTTTTTTATTTCAATAAAAGAGTTACTGATTATTTTTTTAATATCATTCAATAAAAAAGTTACGAACTAATTTTTTTAAATTATTTCAATTATAAAAGTTACTAACGGTTTGAATATTTAAAATATTTAATTTCACAATTCAAATATGTGTTGGTTATATATAGATATATTAAAATTCTTTAGGATTTATGCATAAGTGGAACGTAATGGAAGGTTTTACAACTGACTGTTTAAAATATAATTTAGAAAAAAATCAAAAATGTTTAGTTAGTTACTCAATGTTTATATTCACATTTTATTTATATAAAGAAATTAAAAACTTTAATTTTTTTAATTTTAGAACAGATAATTTAATTTTTAAATATTTTAATTTTTGTCTTTATATAAATTTTAAAACTTATAAATTAAAAAGTATTTTTTAAAGTTATTTTTAAATTAAATATAGATTAAAAATAATTACTGCTTTGTTGTGGTGCTGATATGTGGCGTTTTTCACCTCTCCTATTATATATAGATAGATAGATAGATTCTATTGTATCGCATCGTATCGTTTAAAGTCATCGTTAGGTAACGACGAAAAGACCCATTTTATGTAACAATCGATCTAGTGTGATCGCATCGTTACCTTAATATTTTCCTCTCATTTTGTCTTTATTTATTATTTAATAATTATTATATTTCATGTTTTACCCTACATTTTCATAGTAGCTCTACCCGATAACCTACTTTACTTGTAGGTTTATCATTCAAATTATGAATGTGTGACATTATGTAAAGATAGAGAATGATACAGTCTATCCAAACATTGTATTCATTAAAACAATAAAGTACAATATAATACAACACAATACAATACGATACATTATGAAACGATGCGTAACAACCACTCAAACAAAGTGTTATGATAGTAGAAACACTTCAGAAAGTTTTTTGTTGTGTCCAACTAATATTAACATCACTAGCTCCCAAGGGGTTAAAAAGAACGAAATTGTAGTTTTTTGATGAACCACAGTCCCATAATTCTCTTCACTAATGAATAATTTTGGTAGACATTAACTAGCTCAAAGAAACAAAAAAGGGGAGGATATGCCGTATCAGAAGCACATCTTCAAACAAGATAAAAGTAAAGTTTGCTTTTAAAGTTTGCATATACTTTTTATGAGATAGAGGTAAGATCCATTAATGAAATAACATTGAATATATTGTTCTTGTGTAGTATTCGTACTAGACCAAAACCGTGGGGACAAAAAGCAAAAACCGTATGCTCTTTCCACATTTGTAGTCATATACCAAATAAAAACTATTTTAAGATGCTTTTACGCTTGCATGTATCGATTCGTGGGACAAATTCCAGATTTCAATTATACATTTGAACACCAGAATAAAACACTAAAACTCCGATTAACAATGTGGGATGCCTAAGAGTACAATATTTTACTATGTACAATCTAATTTTGGCGGATAGTACAACAGATGAATCTCAATGATTCATCTCACTTCAACATCAACTGCCACCACAATAATTGCAAAGAAGGATTCTCCCTCACAGTTCAAGCAGTCACCCCACTGGGTTGTTGTCGTCTGGAGTGATGATAGCAGCCATGGCATCTGAGCCATTAGGTTCACCATTGCTCTAGCGGAGAGAATTGTATAACAGACATTGAGCTTTAGTAAATAAACTGAAAAATCAACCTTTTATTTTTTGTTAAGTTCTACAAAGTCAATTATCTATCTCAAGGATGGTTTTAAAAAAGTGGAGATTTTGTACCTGTTCACTAGGTTTCGCAGTTTGGTCCTGAGCTCCAGGAGCTGGAACTTTAGAAAGATCTCTTAAAATTCCCTGCGGAAACAGATCAAAGGGGAGTAAAGC